CATGATAACATGTAATTACACTGACAGATGGTTACAGGTAGCATGATAACCTGTAATTACACTGACAGATGGTTATAGTAAACATGATAACCTGTAATTACACTGACAGAGGGTTACAGTTAACATGATAACCTGTAATTACATTGACAGATGGTTATAGTTAACATGATAACCTGTAATAACACTGACAGATGGTTACAGGTAGCATGATAACCTGTAATTACACTGACAGATGGTTACAGGTAGCATGATAACCTGTTAATACACTGACAGATGGTTATAGTTAACATGATAACCTGTAATTACACTGACAGAGGGTTACAGGTAGCATGATAACCTGTAATTACACTGACAGATGGTTACAGGTAGCATGATAGCCTGTAATTACACTGACAGATGGTTACAGGTAGCATGATAACCTGTTAATACACTGACAGATGGTTATAGTTAACATGATAACCTGTAATTACACTGACAGATGGTTACAGGGAGCATGATAACCTGAAATTACACTGACAGAGGGTTACAGGTAGCATGATAACCAGTAAATACACTGAAAGATGGTTAAAGGTAACATGATAACCTGAAATTACACTGACAGATGCTTACAATTAACATGATAACGTGTAATTACACTGACGGATGGTTACAATTATCATGATAACCACGAATTACACTGACAGATGCTTACAATTAACATGATACCCTGTAATTACACTTACAGATGGTAAAAGGTAACATAATAACCTGTAATTACCCTGACAGATGGTTACAGGGAGCATGATAACCTGAAATAACACTGACAGATGGTTAAAGGTAACATGATAACCTGTAATTACACTTACAGATGGTTAAAGGTAACATAATAACCTGTAATTACACTGACAGATGGTTAAAGGTAACATGATAACCTGTAATTACACTGACAGATGGTTACAATTAACATGATAACCTGTAATTACACTGACAGATGGTTAAAGGTAACATGATAACTACTAATTACACTTACAGATGGTTAAAGGTAACATGATAACCTATAATTACACTGGCAGATGGTTAAAGGTAACATGATGACCTGTAATTACACTGGCAGATGGTTAAAGGTAACATGATAACCTATAATTACACTGGCAGATGGTTAAAGGTAACATGATGATGTGTAATTACATTAAGGTTGTGACAATCAATATGATAACCTTCACTTACATTGACAGATTGTGATGGTTGGAGTCCATTCTCCATTTGTCTGACAAGTGGCTGGGCTGGGTGTGTCTGGAAGTCTGCCCCAGGGACATGTCACATACATTTTAGTTCCAGCAATGTAAGTTCCATCATACAACAGCACTGAATCTGCCATCATATGACCCACCTCTGATACGTTGAATCCTGAGCATGTAACTAAACCAGACAACTTTCTCAATAATTGAAGTTTAAAACTTTTGACACAAGATTAGATTTATCAATACAGTTATACATTTTGAATGCAGAGGTGAATTATTTCAGTTGTAGATGATTATTTTTGTAATTTCCCAGGCATAACTCTGCAGCATCTATGATTTACAGCAAAACTTAAAAATTGAAGGAAGACATTTTTTTTGCATCTAGTTCACTATAGTTTTAGAATAGCATTGCCAGTTTTTCAGTTTAAACAGAAGCAAAATACCAGACTCATACCTATACAAGAAACATTTGGCACAAGCAGTCCATTCTTGGTGAAGACCCAGTCGTTCCCAGTGTAGAGCTTGTAACCTTGTAGACACTGACATCTGTATCCACCATCAAAGTTAGAACACTGATGATCACACACATGATTCTGCTCACACTCATTCACATCTGTAATACATAAACATAGGTATGAGCTGGGAACACTTGTAATGGTCATATCCATGTATAGCTTTTAATACACAGGCAAAATTACTTAAATAGTGTCTGCTACTTTATTGTTTTCTATGATAGTTGAATGAATATCAGCATTAAACAGATACCATTACACAGAATTACAAAGACAAAAGAAAACAAGAAATATCCATGAACTGAAACAGACATGAGAACGTCATCAGAGCAACAACTGAGGTCAATTAGAGTACATTGGAAAACATGTCATCTCATACATATGAATCACCATTTCATCAAGTAAAATCTCACTAACTCAAACATACCAACAGTGTGTCGGTACTTTTCCAGGACTAAGATATTTTGCATGCTCGATGTAACAGACATTTTACCATATCATTTTAACAGGATTGTTCATTCGTTACTATACAGTAGAACCTTGTCATACTGCCAACACTTATTCATCCTTATTTTGTTGCTATAAAGGATTCAGTACTATTATATCCCTGCGGACATAATTATAAAGGAGTCGTCAAAAAAATGGTGGAAATGTTGGCAGTAGGCAATTCAGGAAGAAATGACGGGCATTATATAAATGTTTTCTGTACCAATGTGGCCAATATCTATATTGTCACGGTCTTATAAAGGGAAATAGGTATATATAATACATATAATCTATAGAAATCCTCCAAAATTCAAAGAATGAACAGAACTTGACAGTTTAAAACTGAATTGTGTCAGAACATGCCGTTTTCCTGGTTCATGGTCAGTACACAATACATACAGGCAGAGAACAAAGCAGAGACGAAAGTCTTCAGCGTTACCAGGTTAACAAAGGGTTTATACGGCATTCAAACAGTTCATCAACATAGAGATCATCAACGACTGTGATCTTAATGTACATCCAAGTACAGCATTCAAACAGTTCATCAACATAGAGATCATCAACGACCGTGATCTTAATGTACATCCAAGTACGGCATTCAAACAGTTCATCAACAGAGATCATCAATAACCGTGATCATAATGTACATCCAAGTAAAACTGATGAGTGAACCAACCTTCCCATGCATTGTGTGTCGGGGTGTGTGTGGTGTTAACATGTTACTGATGACACTATACCGATTCTCTACAGTCACAAACACAACAGTCTACAGCTGCTCAGCTAAACACACCGAGTCAATTCAAATCACATGCATTACTATACTGTAATTAATCATCCTAAACAAATGCCAAGCAGGACCATGTGTTACCTGCATTACCTACAAACCAATACGCTTACCTTTAAGATGCACGTCTACAGAAAAAAATCAACCTCTGTTTCATTTACCACTTTCAACTCATCATTCCAGCATAATGACTTGTTTTTATTGAAAGTAAACTACACATATGTTAGGTAGTTTGTCACTAAGTATTATACAGGGTGAGGCCAGAGGCCGAGTCTCCGACTCTAACTGACTGCCTGTATTCCTATAGTGGCACAGTAATAAAGGAAATAGATTTAGTATCAACGAACCTTGAAAAGTCTTGCTTATCAATTTAACTTGCTGTCTTGCTGATGTTGCCTCAAACAAACACAACCTCACTAATCACATTTCATCCTGCTGTATACCATACTAATTGGAAACAAGTGCAGCTCCATCAGAATAAACACAGGCCAATGAGCTATGGTAGTGAATGTTTTCAATCAATTTCAAGGAAATTATTAAAAAAAAAGTGCTTCAAAATAAGAAGAGAATACTTGAAGTTGGAAGCAGCTAGAACTGTAGATTGTCACTCAAAATCAGTCAAAGCTTAATGGACTTACTGGAAACAATATCCCTAATCTATTTAGATAATATATAGATACTTATAGGATGATAGGGTTGATGCATCAGCCAGTTTATTAAACTACCGGTAGATCTACTGTGTGAGGATAGAGAAAGGCTTACCAACACAGTCCTTGAAGTTATCTTCTAGGTTGTCTCCCTTGTACCAGCCTTTGTGACAGTCACAGTAATACTGGCCTGGGAGATTGCGACAGGTGCTGTTGGTTTTATTGCAGCTATTGTCACTGTCTGATTTACACTCGTCTATATCTGGGCAACACAGATCACGAAATAGCATAACTGACCACACCAATGGATATGCTAAGTCATTTAAACAATAACTTATCACTAATATAACAATAACTTCATATTTTCTATACATCAATTAGTCTCGTGTTCAACAATACCAGTATTTCATCCATCTGCCACTGAAATATTACAAAACTTTAAGATACACATACACATTATTACTGAAAGTGAATTTACTTAAGATATACTGGTAAACCAGCTTAAACTGAAATACAAAATTATTGATTTAATAACAGTCCTTTTGTAAACTTATTATCTTCTATTGCATTTTCATAAAAAGGGTAATCTTTTCTCATGATGAGCTTATAAACACTTTGACCCTGTTTTTGAATGACTTAATTACTGACAGATCCTTACCTATACAAATAGGAATGTCTTTATCATACTTTCCTTCCATATTACACAGAACCGTGTCCTGGACTCTAGGAGGAAGTCGGTATCCCTTGTCACATACTATTTGGATTGTCTCCCCTCCCACTGGCTGCCGCATCAATGTAGTGTTGATTCTACCATTAAATATTTCCACCTCAGGGCATAGGGGAGCTGGAATTAAAAAACACCAAAACATCCATACATTGATAGTTTATCACAAATCAGGAACCAGCAACTTGACAGTCTTAGTAAATGAATACAATTTGAATTTGCAACTTACTCAATCTTCTTTTTAGATCTTTAGAAGGAATCAACAAAACCGTTTGACAATACCATGACTTCAATGAGATTGTATGAAAATACCCACGAGCACAGTACGGGGCTGGACTGGACCAACGCCCCTCTTCTGTACAATAGGCAATGGAGGCATTCAGCATACGGAAGTGTTCAGCACAGCCAAACTTTACAATAGCACCATAATGAAAATCGTCAGACGGGAGAGAAACTATATGAGAATTCACACCCGCTGACACTTTTGGACATGTAAACCCTGCAAAAATAAAACAAAAGTTCTATATTCCATAATATCAAATATTTTCCATCTTTACACAATGTGTTTTTAGCAATTATTATAAGACTTTTTTATGCACAGGGATGTAGGATAGGGAAATTCCACCCAAGGGGTTTTCAAATTTGGCAAAGTTCATCCTCGGCAAAGCTTTGACGAGGGTTTTGCCAAATTTGAAAATCCTGAGGGTGGAATTTCCCTATCCTACACCCTTGGGCATGAAAGAGTATTTTTCTCTTCTTCAAACTACAAGAATAAGCTCAGAAACCATAAAAATGCGTTTGGACTGACTACCATTTTCAAAGTATCAATTTTTCCCCTTAGCTTTTTAGACAAAAACTAATCTATCAGCAAGATTAAGCATACCCCATATTTGCAGAAAAAATAATCTCATCTTTCTCACGTGTACAGTAAATAGATCATAATGTTGATTCTTAGTTTTGATTTTTATCACAACGCCTTTTCTGCATTGCGGCATCAAAGTTTTCAAATTTGTGACGTCACATCACGTGAAATGGGGTGTAAAATAGAAATTTCCTACACCCCTTTCTTACCCTGGACAGCTCAGCTCTATATCTTACACACTCGGAAATGAGAGAAATTAATGTAATATTTACATGTTGGGACCATTACCTTGACATGATGGCCTCTCCTGCCATCCATTTTCTGTACACCTCACTAGGGAGCTGCCCTGGAGGATGTAGCCAAGATCACACCGGTAAACTGCCACTCCATCATACAAGGTAGAATTCATACTAAGGAGGCCTCCATGGAGTGGAATAGTGGGAGACCCGCAGTCATACACTGGGAAATATAGTCATCAAATGTTAACAAATTGTCCTGATCCAGTTTTAAAGGGAAAAACAACTTGTGCATATAATGCTGTTACAAACTTTCTGTATATTTAAACCTAAACATGTACACAAGTATCAGGTTTTAACAGAGTTTGATCACACATTTCAGGCTTCAGTTAAACATTTTAACTTAAATTTTTAGCTTCATTTCATTTTCCCTACATTGAGTTCAGGAAAATTTTAAATTTACACTAATTAAGGTATGAGTAACATACTGACAGATGGGAGGATGCAATGCCCCATAATCTGTAAAACACCCTAAGCTCACCTATACACCGGGGGGAGGGTGCAGACCACACCCCACCTATATCACAGACTCGTGGGTCGGGTAGGTCTAAAAGGTACCCTCTATCACAGCTATAGTGGACTACATCTCCCAGCATGGTACTTGTTGTGTCCACTTTGGCATTATTTGGCAGTGGAAGTAGACTAGGACAATCTGCAGGAAACAAATAGATCAGAGGTCATTATACAGCAGTGGGAAACATTCCCTCCAATTTAACTTTTGCTATTTTTGCCCTTCATAGTGGAAGTGAATTCATCATGATGACAAAGTTTGTAGACAACTTCCTATATGTAGTGTTTCTACTGTGAAAAGTGAAACTAACACAGGAGGCATATGGACAAATCTTTCCCAGGGCAAAAGTTTTGGAATACATCACTCATTGTTACACGACTGAAACGCTTCCGATTATGACCCTACCGTAAGAGATGCTGGCATGCCATCCACTGTAAGACACATCAGAATCAGATGAAAACTTGACCAGAAAAAAACCAGTGTCAGATATGATAGGCTTTGGTTGAAGCTTGCCTGAGAATACTGTTGGCTGATTGTCATCAGAACTTGTATTAAATACCTGTAAAAAAATCACAATAGAAAGGCATTATATCAACCAAGGACCTATTTAACAGGTGGTTGATTACAATCGTTATTTCATTAGTTGCTTTAACTGGAAACTTAACTTGTATGTATATTTTTTATCATTTCAATTTAACCAATTAAAGTTTAGCCTGAATGTTATTAGATTGTTACTGAAATTATATATGGGACTTTAAAATTTGAATTTTTATGCAACTAATTTATCTCCCTATATATCGCATCAAAAGTGAAAATGCCTACTTACTGTTACAACATCGAATTGTGACTCGGTATAAAAGTTAGCACCAAAGATGAGAGTGAGATCACGGTGATATGGGTCTTGTATGGTCCACGAACAGTCCAGACCAAATGGATAGCTCTCCGTTCCATACCCAGGGGACGCAATCTCCACAGACCCACGGGGTAGCACCAAGTCACAACCTTAACAAAAGTAAAGTAACAATTAAGTTACATAACAAATCTTAAAATTATTGATGTTACAGTTTTAATCTGTTGTGTAGTTCTAAAACTTGATTGAGATAAATTCTTCAGCAAGGAAAGGAATGCTATAACTATTAACAAGAATGACCACTGAAGCAGGGAAAGGAATATTCCCTGAACTAGTCTTACCTGATTGGTAAGTGGCATTGAAGCCCGAACAAGCTTTACATGACTTGTAGGTAGTTTTGAAGCCGTACAGAGCCTTACTCCTGATTTGTATTTGGAGTTGAAGTTTGACAGATCTTAACCTTATTTGTAGGTAGTTTTGAAGTCGTACAGAGCCTCACTCCTGATTCGTATTTGGAGTTAAAGTTTGCCAGAGCCTTACCTTATTTGTAGGTAGTTTTGAAGCCGTACAGAGCCTTTCTCCTGATTTGTATTTGGAGTTGAAGTTTGACAGAGCCTTACCTTATTTGTAGGTATCTTTGAAGCCGTACAGAGCCTTACTCCTTATTTGTATTTGGAGTTGAAGTTTGACAGAGCCTTACCTTATTTGTAGGTAGCTTTGAAGTCGTACAGAGCCTCACTCCTGATTCGTATTTGTAGTTGAAGTTTGACAGAGCCTTACCTTATTTGTAGGTAGCTTTGAAGCTGTACAGAGCTAGCTTACTCCTGATTTGTATTTGGAGTTGAAGTTTGACAGAGCTTTACCTTATTTGTAGGTAGTTTTGAAGCCGTACAGAGCCTTACTCCTGATTTGTATTTGGAGTTGAAGTTTGACAGATCTTTACCTTATTTGTAGGTAGTTTTGAAGTCGTACAGAGCCTTACTCCTGATTTGTATTTGGAGTTGAAGTTTGACAGAGCCTTACCTTATTTGTAGGTAGCTTTGAAGCCGTACAGAGCTAGCTTACTACTGATTTGTATTTGGAATTGAAGTTTTGACAGATCTTTACCTTATTTGTAGGTAGCTTTGAAGTCGTACAGAGCCTCACTCCTGATTCGTATTTGGAGTTGAAGTATGCCAGAGCCTTACCTTATTTGTAGGTAGCTTTGAAGCCGTATAGAGCTAGCTTACTACTGATTTGTATTTGGAATGGATGTTTTGACAGATCTTTACCTTATTTGTAGGTAGTTTTGAAGCCGTACAGAGCCTTACTACTGATTTGTATTTGGAGTTGAAGTTTGACAGATCTTAACCTTATTTGTAGGTAGTTTTGAAGCCGTAAAGAGCCTTACTCCTGATTCGTATTTTGAATTGAAGTTTGACAGAGCTTTACCTGACTTGTAGGTAGCTTTGAAGCCGTATAGAGCTAGCTTACTACTGATTTGTATTTGGAATTGAAGTTCGACAGAGCCTTACCTTATTTGTAGGTAGCTTTGAAGTCGTACAGAGCCTCACTCCTGATTTGTATTTGGAATTGAAGTTTGACAGAGCCTTACCTTATTTGTAGGTAGTTTTGGAGCCGTACAGAGCCTTACTACTGATTTGTATTTGGAGTTGAAGTTTGACAGAGCTTTACCTTATTTGTAGGTAGTTTTGAAGCCGTACAGAGCCTTACTCCTGATTTGTATTTGGAGTTGAAGTTTGACAGAGCTTTACCTTATTTGTAGGTAGTTTTGAAGCCGTACAGAGCCTCACTCCTGATTTGTATTTGGAGTTGAAGTTTGACAGAGCCTTACCTTATTTGTAGGTAGTTTTGGAGCCGTACAGAGCCTTACTCCTGATTTGTATTTGGAGTTGAAGTTTGACAGAGCTTTACCTTATTTGTAGGTAGTTTTGAAGCCGTACAGAGCCTTACTCCTGATTTGTATTTGGAGTTGAAGTTTGACAGAGCCTTACCTTATTTGTAGGTAGTTTTGAAGCCGTAAAGAGCCTTACTCCTGATTTGTATTTGGAGTTGAAGTTTGACAGAGCCTTACCTGACTTGTAGGTAGCTTTGAAGCCGAACAGAACCTTATTCCTGATTGGTATTTGGAGTTAAGTTTGACAGAGCCTTACCTGACTTGTAGGTAGCGTTGAAGCCGTACAGATACTTACCAGACTTGTAGGTAGCGTTGAAGCCTGACCGAGTTTCCCCACCAGGGTTTGTGACCAGTCTAAGGAATATGCTGCTCCCCTTACTAACCACCACACGGTGGACATCCTCCCCCGAGTATCTGCCATACAAGTGTCCACTGTCGTGAGCACCCTCTCTAACCTCCACCCAATCTACAGTCTCCTCCAGGGAAAACTCCACGAACTTAACGTAAAATACATACATATTACTGCAAAGCAGAATCTTTAACCAAAACTGGTCATGTCTGACTTGAGTTCAATTCAACATGAAATTATTTTATATCATTTAAAATTTAACTTAAAATTAGATAATAAATTTAAACTTTAGATTCTCAATTTGAGAGAACATGCTTGTCGTGCACATATTAATTTATCAGCTTGTGACCTCAAAAAGATTAAGATCTCGCCCTTGCCTGCCTAGATTTCCATAACGAAATCGAAGTGATATATTTTTTGCCTAGATTTCACTAAGAAGATCCTGATGATATTTACCTGTAGCGAGATCACACCCTGACCTGCCTGGATGATCCAATCACAGATAAGGTTGGGAGGATAACTGTTGGGGAAGTCAGGTGAAGTAAACCAGTTCTCATCAGAGTCTGCTACCAGGTTTCCACCACATGTATTTATCACCACTACAATCACAAAGAATAAATCAAGTATATAACATTAATGATCTAATTAACTTGCAATATATAACACAAGTAATATTTTTACTTAGGATTTACTATTGGAAGTATAGCTTGGCTAGTGGATATCTAAAAGTAATAGACCTTTGGAGCAGTATTGGATTTGAATAATAATCACTTAACTACAAAAAACGACCACACATGTATTACCTGTGATCACCATCAAACATCAGGACATCTACCACACATGTATTACCTGTGATCACCATCAAACATCAGGATATCTACTACACATGTATTACCTGTGATCACCATCAAACATCAGGATATCTACTACACATGTATTACCTGTGATCACCATTAAACATCAGGATATCTACCACACATGTATTACCTGTGATCACCATCAAACATTAGGATATTTACCACATATGTATTACCTGTGATCACCATCAAACATTAGGATATCTACCACACATGTATTACCTGTGATCACCAGCAAACATTAGGACATCTACCACACATGTATTACCTGTGATCACAATCAAACATCAGGAGATCTACCACACATGTATTACCTGTGATCACCAGCAAACATTAGGATATCTACCACAAATGTATTAACTGTGATCACCATTAAACTTTTATTAGGACATCTACATTACATGTATCTAACAATGGACTATTAAACACATTTTGTTTCATGTCGCATCATTTCTATCCTACAACAAGTTGATGTAAATGAAGGGTGGTACCGCTAACTGTGTACCCTTTGGACTTTATGACATGCTATCATAAATGTCTATGTGTGTACAGGGTTGAGGAGTGGTAGACATAACTGTCAGACCACATACTGAGATGCTTTTTATAAACTGTTGTATGATAAACATCACACAGTGCACTTTTACACCCCTGACCTAAAATATCCTGAATCATAGATATCTCTCAGACACCATTATATCAGCTCTTATCTATATCACTTATCACAAATTTACTTACATCAAGTACAATCAAAAATATAATTTATAAAAATATTTTTGTTTTCATAACCACTTTGAGTGTAATGGAAAGGAATTTCTCCTATTTCTTAGATGAACATTTCAAGATTTTCTTCCCTTCAAAAGGTTTTTCACTCTGCACCACCATATTGAATACAAACTACTAATTGTGAAATGTATAGGAGGCAAGGATGATGAAGAAAAGATTACAATTCTCAGTTAGTCTATACTCAATGTTGTCCCTTTTTAATCTCATATTCACCCAATAGTTTATGATCTTTTTTCGCAGTCCCTAGTTTTAGCAGATTCACAAAAACAATCAATTTGTTTTCTGAGATCTGTATTTTGTGGATTTCAGGTCTAGAAGGCATACATTTTCATTGAAAAATAGTTTCAGAGTAAATATGAACCCATCAACAAAAGACCTTTACAATAAAGCTGCATCAATTCCAAAAGTACTAGTTGAGATCTTTTCCTTTTCACCTTTTCCTCCATTCGTTTCTCTTGACACACTTTCTGTCTATCTTATACAAAATGTATATACCTTGTGGCTTTCATGGTCTTATAGTGCTGATAGACAATTAAAACAATGTCATGACAATATTTAAGTATTTATATACAAACTCAATTATGAATAGCAGAAAGAGCTGTGGTGGTAAGCTTAGACAACTCGAACAACAGTATACGGCAATAGCAAAGGTTACATATGCTTTACCTTAATATTTACAATAGAAAAAATGAAAAGAATGCCTCCACATGTGGTTGAGGTCATGTAATGTTGTCAGCCAAAAGTTTGAAGCCAGGCATTAGCCAATAGATGGCATAAAACACAGTTTATACAGGTGTTGCCTATACTTACATATAAATGTGACAGACACCATTGTTACTTGTCAAAGTATTTCCTCTAAATGTATGTGACAGACCCCTGGTTATCATGTTGCAGGCACGTAAAGTAGTATGCTTCGACACCAGGGAGATCGAACAGAAACAAGTTTGTTTACATGCTTTTAGAGACATAACGCTCTGCATTTAGACTGTTGTATAATCTTATCTATAATTTTAAAGCTGACATGTTGTGGGAATTGTTGGCTTTCTAAGAGTAAATCTAGACAAAATATGAAGAGTCTGGAATACATTTGATCAAGTTGCCTCGAGACAGAAGATCTTCTGTACAGAAAACCAGGCCACATTCAGCCATCAAACTACAGCAAGACATTGCGAGCACATTAATGTGGAACTGTATATACTGAACACTTTGACATGTTTACGTTCACTTGACATCCGTTATATATAGAGGAACTTTACCTCTATGCTCTAAACAGTATGTACTTAGCTCTAAATGATATGTACTATATGTTCAGCACCTTATAAATTAAACAGGAAATTAAGCACATGCTTTGTCTATGTACAATTGGAAATATGTCAACTGACCTACCATTGCCATGGTAATCATGTCAAACTGACCTACCATAGCAATTGTGTCAAACTGACCTACCATAGTAATCATGTCAAACTGACCTACCATAGTAATTGTGTCAAACTGACCTACCATAGTAATCATGTCAAACTGACCTACCATAGTAATC